GGGCACCCGTAGTCCCAGCTATTTGGGAGGCTGAGGCAAGAGAATCACTTAAGCCCAAAGAGTTTGAGGTTGCTATGATCTGTGACGGCACAGTACTCCACCGAGGGTGACACGGTGAGACTCTGTCTCAAAAATAAATAAATATTTAATAAATGCAATATTTTTGTTGTTGTTTTGAACCCACCAACCCTGGTGTATGTGGTCGAACTCGCCAGCCTTGGTGTATGTGGTTGGTGCCCTAACCACTGAGCTACTAACACCAAGCCAATAAATGCTTTCTTCTACTGCTGCTTGTATCTTCACTTGTGGATACATTTTTGCCTATCTCTCTGAAGTCATTAGGGGATAGACTGAGGATATTAATAACTTTTGGTTACAGCTTGGAAGACTGAGGCACAGGTTACATAGTAACATAGCTAACCTCCATCTTTACCTCCTCACCTCAGACCACACTACCTTGCTAGGACTCAGTATTCTAAACCCTAAACTAAATCTTTCTCAGTAACTCCATAGAAAAAACTTGTTTTGGGCTCGGCACCTGTGGCTCAAACGGCTAAGATGCCAAGCCATATACACCTGAACTGGCGGGTTCAAATCCAGCCGGCCCTGCCAAACAACAATGATGGCTACAACCAAAAAAAAAATAGCCAGGTGTTGTGGCGGGCACCTATAGTCCCCGCTACTTGGGAGACTGAGGCAAGAGAATTGCGTAAGCCCAAGAACTGGAGGTTGCTGTGAGCTGTGATGCCACAGCACTCTACCAAGGGTGACAAAGTGAGGCTCTGTCTCTTAAAAAAAAGAAAAGAAGAAGAAGAAAGGGAACAGGTAGAAACAGGGTGTGACATTTCTCCATAGTGGTAGCTGGCATCCCTTTGATTCCCTTTTGGTGGAAGTGGCTCCTCTTATTTGGAGAGGCAACAAAGTACAGTGGGTAAGAGCATAGACTCAACCCAGGCTTCCTCAGTCCATAACCACATCTACCACAGACTGGCTGTGTGACCTTGGGCAGGTTATATATTCTCTCTATAGCTCTGTCCTCCTGGGGTTGTGATGGGGAGCAAATGAATTAACATTTGTAAAGTGCTTAGAACAGTGTCTAGCACAAAGTAAGAGTTAAATAAGTATTTAAGGCTCAGCGCCATAGCACAATGGTTACGGCACTGGCCACATGCACTGAGTCTGGTGGGTTCGAACCTGGCCTGGGCCAGCTAAACAATGACAACTGCAACAAAAAAATAGCTGGGCATTGTGGCGGGCACCCGTAGTCCCAGCTATTTGGGAGGCTGAGGCAAGAGAATCACTTAAGCCCAA